TGGACAGGGAGGCCCGACATGTTGTGGTTTGTGGGGTTGCAAGGAGTCGGACACGACTGAGCAACTGAACTGACTGACTGATGTGCTAATACTTTGTACACATTATCTCATTTAAATCTCACCACAGTCCTAAAGAATATCCCCAATTTACAGTTAGGAAAGCTGAGGTAGGACTTCCCTGGTGGCCCAGTGGCTAAGAATCTTCCTTACAATGCAAGGGACACCAGTTCAATCCCTGGTCCCAGAAGATTTCATATGCCATGGAGCAACTGAGCCCAATAGCCACAACTACTGAGGTCATGCACTGCAACTACCGAGGACTGTGTGCCTAGAGCCTGTGCTCCACAACAAAAGAAGCCACTGGGATGAGAAGCCAGGGCACCACAATGAAGAGTAGCTCCCACTTGCCACAACTAGAGAAAGCTTGAGTGCAGCAATGAAGACCCACCACAGCCATAAATACATTAATAAATCTTTTTTTTTTTAAAGAAAGCTGAGATTGAGAGAGGTTGAGCAACAGAAAAAAATAGCAGAACCAGGAATTCTAACCCAAATCATGTTCTTTCCAGGGTAATATATTGTCTCTTTACTTCTTTTGATCCTGAATCAAAATCTCACTATTGCCTGGAAGAAAGATGGCTGCGGCCTAAGTGGAGGCCCTTTGGAGCCATAGCGGGCGCTCAGGCCGCGCTCGCGGATCCTGGGTGAGGGGATGGAGGCCGCTCCTGGCCACACTTGCAGCCTGTCCCACAGTGCAGACCCCGGCGGCCATGGCCTCCAGGCAGGCTCCCCTCTGTGGCCTGGCTCCTTGCTGCCTCTGGCTCCTGGGCATTGTCCTTCTGATGGATGCGTCTGCCTGGCCTGCCAACCACTCGTCTGCTCGAGAGAGAGCAGGTAATAGGGAGGAAAATGAGATCCTGCCCCCGGACCACCTGAACGGGGTGAAGCTGGAGATGGACGGGCACCTCAACAAAGATTTCCACCAGGAGGTCTTCCTGGGCAAGGACATGGATGACTTTGAGGAGGACGCAGAGCCTCGGAAGAGCTGGAGGAAGCTGATGGTCATCTTCTCCAAGGTGGATTTGAACACCGACAGGAGGATCAGCGCCAAGGAGATGCAGAACTGGATCATGCAGAAGATGGCTGAGCACTTCCAGGAGGCTGTTGCCGAGAGCAGGGCGCACTTCCGAGCCGTGGACCCCGATGGTGACGGCCACGTATCTTGGGATGAGTACAAGGTGAAGTTTTTGGCGACCAAAAGCCACAATGAGAGAGAAGTTGTTTAAAAGATAAAGAATAAGTGGGACCTGAACATCGATGAGGAGACACAGGAAGTCCTGGAGAACCTCAAAGACTGCTGGTATCAGGCGGACAACCCGCCCCCAGACCTGCTGCTGACAGAGAGCGAGTTCCTATCGTTCCTGCACCCCGAGGACAGCCGTGGCATGCTGCAGTTCATGGTCAAGAAGATCATCCGGGACCTGGACCATGACGGTGACAAGAAGCTCTCACTGTCTGAATTCATCTCTCTGCCCGTGGGCACCTGGAGAACCAGCAGGGCCAGGATGTTGACGACGGCTGGGTGCGGGATAGGAAGAGAGAGTTTGAGGAGCTGATCGACACCAACCACGATGGGATTGTGACCATGGTGGAGTTGGAGGACTACATGGACCCCATGAACGAGTTCAGCACCCTCAATGAGGCCAAACAGATGATCGCTATTGCTGACAAGAACCAGAATCACTACCTGGAGCCCGAGGAGGTGCTGAAGTACAGTGAGTTCTTCATGGGCAGCAAGCTGGTGGACTACGCCCGCAGCGTGCATGAGGAGTTCGGAGCCACCGCCGCATCCCCCGCCCCCCTCCCCACCCCCCGCAGCACCTCGCAGGCTGCCCCACTCTGATTCCAGTGTAATCGCTGCATCTCGCTTCTGAGAACTCAGAGCCCTGCTGCTGGAGGCACTGACCACATCAGGACGGCAGGCTCCCCCACCGTGGGAAACGACGAAGCTCCTGCTGTTCCCTCGAAAACTGAAAGGTGAAGCTTTGCTGGAAACCAGCAGCCAGTGGCTGGGGTGGGGCGGGGTGCTGGGTAGAGCTGTGAGAGCCGCCAGCCCATGGCCTTCAGTCTCTGAGGAGCATGAATATTGGTGACAGGAATCACATTAATTTACTTCAAAATATAGTTGCCTTTTTCTCTCAAAAAAAAAAAATCTCACTATTATGGCAGAAAAATGTTCTTGATTAATATAATTCCACTCAAATACCGGAGAAACATCAAAGAAAACTGGCTAGGAATACTTTACTAGTTGTTTTGACAACTTGTACTTTTATTGAGTTATGTTGGATAGAAAATAGGAAGTTTAATTGGTAACAGACAGAGGTCAGGGGCCAAAGAGAATGTTAGGAGGCAGAGAAGGGGTAAGAAAGAAGGGAGAAGTGGTGTGGACATGGAAGACAGAGAAACTTCTGGGCTACCTCTCCACAGCTCATAACAGGTCATTTCAAGGTGAGCCCAGCTTTCTGGAGAGCACAACTTTCATTAAATGTAATAATAATTAACCTGTGTCTAGTATTTACTTTGTGCCAGTCACTCTTTTAAGTCCATTACATGTATTAACTCATTTAACACAACAATCCTGTGAGTTGTCTTTTGATTAACCTCATTTTACATAAATATTAGAAAATTGAAGCAGAGAGAGGCTACAGTTTCTATTTCACACATAAGGAAACTGAGGCACAGAGAAGTTGAGTAACTTGCCCAAGGTTAAGCTAATGAATGGTAGAGCTGGAGTCTGAATTTAGGATTTTGACTCTAGAGCCATGTTCTTACTCATCATGATATAGTATCCCTCCCAACATGTAAAGATAATAATTGTTTAAGGAAATGTTTACTTCAGGTGTGTGTGTGTGTGTGTGTGTGTGTGCATGCACATGTGTGCTTGTGTTGATAGTGGGTTGGATGTAAAGTGTATTTATTCCTATGAATCAGACAAAAGTGTCTAAAAGCTACTGTTCTAGCAATAGTAGCAATGCCTGAACTGCACACCTTCAAACTCACTAGAGATAATGCCAGATTGCTCTCTAAAACAATTGTACCAAATCACATTCCTATCAGCAGTGTAAGAAAATTACCTGCATTCTACATCCTCACCTGAATTTGATAGCACCAGAGTTCTGATATGTTACGAGTCACATTTTTCTGATTTCTTTTACATCTTTTCATGTTTTGGCCATTTGGGTTTTGCCTATTGTGAATCATCTGCTTATATCCCTTACTTGTATATCATTGTATACAATAAAAATGTACACAATACAACACTCACAACAACTCTCTGTAGGAGTTGGCAGTACAAAAAAAGAAACTCATTACTCATTACAGATTACTGGGAGTAATCTTGTTAGAGGTCACCAGCTAATAAGTTGTTGACTTGGGATGTGAGTTGAGACCTAGGGGACCCATATCTTTTGTTTTAAAATACATGCCAGGGACCAAGGGCTAGTTAGGAAAAAACAGAAGAAGGGAACAAATAATTTCCAGCATGTAACCATGTATGTCTAATTAGGTTTTGCTAGGATGAACACAGATTATTTCCTTGTATCTTCACAACAAGCTGTGGGATAAAACATGTTATCTCCATTTTACAAGTGAGGAGACTGAGGCTCAAGGAAATGAAGAGATTTGCTTTGGAGAGGTTAAATGACTGCTAATAAGAAACAGAATCAATAACAATCCAAACATAGGTCCGTTGCTTACAAAGTCCATACCTGTTCCACAGAGCCATGTCTTGACCTCCTGTCCCACCTTCTCCTTAGAGCTCCAGGAAACTGCTTCTTCTTGGACAGGGCCAGAACTACACCTACCATTTTTCTGCAGAATCCTGGTCTGGGGTAGCCTTAACTAACTGGTTCAGCCCTGATGCCTCCAGTAACCAACCAAGCTAGGTCAGCTCCTAGCCAACTTCCACAGATTCAGTTCCCACTGCCCTATGCTTCTCTGGTGAAACCCACACAGAATCTCAACACCTTCCATGGAAAAACCAGAAAATTCTAAGTCAGCGTTCTCAAACTTGGCTGCACATTAAAATCACCTGCAGAACTTTAAGAAATCCTGATGCCCTGGTAATACCCCAGACTGACTCCATCAGAATCTCTGGGGATGGTACCCAGGCATCCATAATAATTAAAACTTCCCACGTGATCCCAGTATAGAGTCAAGATTAAGAACCACTGTTGGGGCATTTTCTTCAAGTTCCAGCAGCCATACTCACAGAGAGGTTCTCACGTTTTAGTATTCACATGAACTTCTTGGAGGACTTAAGATTCAGATTTCTGGCACTTACTCTCAGGGAGTCCATGTTTTCATCTGGACTCAGAAGCCCAAATTCTTAACCATCCCCTCAGATAGTTCCACTGCAAGTTCTTAGCAGACCACATTTTGAGAAATGCTACATTAGGAAAAGTATTGAATGGAAGTGGGGTGGGAACAGGAGGCCTCTGGCCCTTTAAGGACTGATTAAGGGACTACCTTTAAAGCTGTGAAGCAGAGCAGGCTAGGGCTGCTTCTTTTCATCCTGATGGATAAGGTAAGGGAGCAGGTCCTGGAATGGGCCTCTCCTTTTAAATACGATCTTGTTTCCAGCCCTGGAGAGCAGGATGGGCACGCTGCCTTGTCCCACCTGCTGTTTCTGTTTGTTTGATGCAAAGAGGACAATTTAGAAGACCTTTTTGGTTCGGGAGATCTTACCAGAGGAAGAAACATAGGACCTGCCTGCCAGCCTTTCATTTTTCCTTGCCCTGTCCTTTGTGGAAGTGGAGCCTGGATGCTGTTACCCACATAAAAGGAAAGGTTTAAAGTGATATCCTTTGGGCTTTTACCAAAACATGTTGCTGAACACCAAGCTTTTCAAGATGATCCTCCTGAGCATCCTTAGAATTCTTCTTCTCTGGGGACTGGTGCTTTTTATGGAACATAGGGTCCAAATGACACAGGTAGGGCAGCCCTCTATTGCCCACCTGCCTGAGGTCCCTACCTTGCCCCTGATTCAGGAGCTGCTAGAAGAAGCCCCTGGCAAGCAGCAGAGGAAGCCGCGGGTCTTAGGGCATCCCTTACGGTATATGATGGAGTTGTACCGGCGTTCAGCTGACGCAAGTGGACACCCTAGGGAAAACCGCACCATTGGGGCCACCATGGTGAGGCTGGTGAGGCCGCTGGCTAGTGTAGCAAGGCCTCTCAGAGGTGAGTTATCATACTATATTGTTCTGGTGGGGGGGGTGGGGGGAGGAAATGGGAAAGAAGAGTAGAAAAAGTGGATCTGTCAATTTTCTGTCAGGCTTCACATTGCCTACAGGGTAGGTGGTTTTCTTGGGCTTGGTTTCTTGATTTTCAAAAGACGGCACCCTTGGGAGAACCTGGCTCCAAATTTGCTTCCCTTTAAGGCTCTAATTTAAGAACAGATTGCCTTGGGGCCTACCTGAGGACTTTTCCCAGGCCCCAGGGAAACTGAGTAATATGTCAGCTCCTAGCTTTCAAAGAAAGTCTTAATGCTTATTATATCACTGAAAATTATAATTGAGAAATACTCATTATATTCTGTGGAGGACTGTTTGGGTTGTTTTATTCTTAGAAGACAAAAGGTACAGGATGTTGAGTTGGGGAAATTTACAAGGCCTCAGAAAGGACAGAAACAGGCTCACACCTGAGAGTCTGTTATTGTATTTAATCCTTAATGATAGGGACTCTCCTTAACTGTCCTGAAAGACTTAGCCTGATTTTTAAAGAAAAGTGAAGCAGAGAGAGAAGTTAAATAACTTGCAGAGGTCACAAGGATGGGGTGGCAGAGGCAGGAGTTGAGCTTCAAATCTGTCTTATTTTATAGTCTGTGCATAACTACTTAAGTGTTTTGAATGTCATACCCTGATATCCTTGCATAAGAAGCAGTTTTTCTGTTTAGACTATGTTGCTAGTTTGGGTCTGTGCTACCAAATGTATTTTGGAATTTTCCTTGTTTCCCTCATGGTTGCTTCTGCTTTAAACATCTTCATTAGACACTGATCTAGGGCAGTAGTTGGCTTCTGCAGTGCAGGGTTCTCTAGGCAATGAAGAAAGTCATCAATTTCAAGGAAATCTTGGGAACCTGGTGAAATCAATCTTAAGCCTTTGCTCATCTCAGAGATGACAACAGACATGATTTACCTCCCTCCTCCAAGTAAAACAACCACCATTCCCCTAAGCTAAACTTTAGTGTGTGCTTACCATGTGCCAGGCATTAGGCAAAGTACTTTTACAAACATTATCTTCCTTTATCATCCCCAATATCGTATGAAGTAGATGTGTGTGCGAGCTCAGTTGTGTCTGACTCTTTGAGACCCCATGGACTGTACCTGCCAGGCTCCTCTGTCCGTGGAACTTTACAGGCAAGAGTACTGGAGGAGGTTGCCATTTCCTCCTCCAGGGGATCTTCCCAACCCAGGGATCAAACCCACATCTTCTGTGTTTCCTGCACTGGAAAGAGGATTCTTTACTACTGCTCCACTATGGAATACTATGAATATACCCATTATATAGGTGAAGAAAATGAGGCTCAGTGTAACACAGCTAGTAATTAATAGAGCTGGGTTTCTAACCCAGGCTTTCAGGCTTCAGAGCCTGTGCTTTTAATTACCCTGCTGTGCTGACTGCTTAACAGACTTTAATTGAGCACCAAGCACTGTGTTTGGGTTGGGTATGAAAAGGCAAATAACTGCTCTAGGAGCCCCCACTATACTAGAATGGATATATGAGTAATAACATAATGGTGTTACAGCACAGCAAATGCTTTGAAAAGAATAAGCAGTAGGATTCCTGGGACTCCAAGAAGAAATGGGTTGCTGCTTAGGGCAAGGAAAGGGAAATGCTGAAATAGTTGAAAGACCTCATTGGAGAGGTGGCATTTGAGCCAAACTTTGCAGAAGGAGTAAAGAGACTATGGATACAGGGAGGGAAGTGCATTCTGATTGAGGAAAAAGAAGATAACTTGGTATGGTTGGAGATTCACTCAAAAAATATTTATTTGGCAACTGCTAAGTGCTAGGCATTGCTCTAGGTGTTGGAATGTGATGAAGAAAGGCATGGTTCTCTGGGTGAGATAAGTAAATAAACATGGATAGTTGTAAATTGTGATAAATGCTACCAAAGAATGAAATAGGTGGTTCTGATAGAGAATAGCAAAGAAATCTTCCCTTTGCATGGCATTGTCAGTGAAGGCATGTTTGAAGAGGTGACATTTGAGCTGAGGTCTATAAGGTAAGAAGCTTGGCATGAGAAGAGAAGAGAGAAGTTTCATCTAGTCAGAGGGAACGACATGTACAAAGCCCTAAAGGTGGAAACAAGTACTTGAAGAACAGAAGGAAGATCAGGATGATTGGAGCCTAATGAGATTGTAGAGAGTCGTGGGATATGAGACTGATGAGAATCAGGGATGGAGTGGTCATTACAAGGGATCTAGATTTCATTCATAAGCTGCATAAATCAATTCTGTACAGATGATATGAGGCTAGAAAGTAGAATGTCTAGAATTAGGCCAGTGTCTTGGTCTGACTGTGGGACATACTGGTAACTAGGGACTCTGGAAAGGATCCAGAAATGGATGACAAGAGAGTTGGGTCTGATCATTCCATCAGGAGATGACCCAGCTGAATCAAGCTTGCTTCGAGAGCTATTCCAGGTTCATTTGCACAGGATGTGTGAGTCAGACATTTCCCTGAAAAGTTCTGAGCAGACCCTTCCTGGCCCTGATCCTTAGCAACCCCACCCTGCTTCAGGAAATACGTGATGTCAGGATCTGAAAGGAAAGGGTAGCTCCTCACCAGACTGCCTGCTAGAAATTTGATTTAGATTCCTTTTTAGGCAGGGTGGGGCAGATGTATGGGTGTCTTAGAAAGATTATTACAGGATGGGAGTATGGAGTAACTTGAGAAAGCAATTACAAGCCTGGCTTGAGCTTTGTATGAATGAAATCCAAGTGCCCCAAACTTGAGGGTGTATTAAGCATGAGTTGGAACCTGAACTTTAAAAAAAAATTGATGTATGGTTTCATTTTCACTCATATGTGGAATATAAAAACAAAACAAGTGAAAAACAAAAATTAAAAACTCAGAGATCAGATTAGTGGTTACCAGCAGGTAAAAGGGTTGGAGAGTAAGTGAAATAGGGGAAGGGAGTTAATTGTGTGGTAACAAATAATGGTAACTAAGCTTGTGGTGGTGATCACTCTGTAGTGTACACAGATGTTGAATTATGATTATGAATTTTGCACCTGAAACTTGGATACATAACTAAAAAAATCCTGATGCATCAAAACATTCAAGAGCTTCTATGTTGAACATCCCAAGCCTACTGAATTTCAGGCTCATGGATTCAGTGGAGAAGGAAGATTAGGTAGATAATATGTAAATTAGCATGGCCATGGTTAGTGACTGGACATGGAACAACAGACTGGTTCCAAATAGGAAAAGGAGTACGTCAAGGCTGTATATTGTCACCCTGCTTATTTAACTTATATGTAGAGTACATCATGAGAAACGCTGGACTGGATGAAGCACAAGCTGGAATCAACATTGCCAGGAGAAATATCAATAACCTCAGATATGCAGATGACAACACCCTTATGGCAGAAAGTGAAGAAGAACTAAAAAGCCTTTTGATGAAAGTGAAAGAAGAGAGTGAAAAAGTTGGCTTAAAGCTCAACGTTCAGAAAACTAAGATCATGGCATCTGGTCCCATCACTTCATGGTAAATAGATGGGGAAACAGTGGCTTACTTTATCTTTTGTGCTCCAAAATTGCTGCAGATGGTGATTGCAGCCATGAAATTAAAAGACACTTACTCCTTGGAAGGAAAGTTATGACCAACCTAGATAGCATATTAAAAAGCAGAGACATTACTTTGTCAACAAAGGTCCATCTAGTCAAGGCTATGGTTTTTCCAGTAGTCATGTATGGATGTGAGAGTTGGACTATAAAGAAAGCTGAGCATGAAGAATTGATGCTTTTGATCTATGGTGTTGGAGAAGACTCTTGAGAGTCCCTTGGACTGCAAGGAGATCCAACCAGTCCATCCTAAAGGAGATCAGTCCTGGGTGTTCATTGGAGGAATTGATGTTGAAGCTGAAACTCCAATGCTTTGGCCACCTGATGCGAAGAGCTGACTCATTCGAAAAGACCCTGAGCTGGGAAAGATTGAGGGCAGGAGGAGAAGAGGACGACAGAGGATGAGATGGTTGGATGGCATCACCGACTCGATGGACGTGGGTTTGGGTGGATTCCGGGAGTTGGTGATGGACAGGGAGGCCTGCGTGCTGTGGTTCATGGGGTCGCAAAGAGTCGGACACGACTGAGCGACTGAAATGAACTGATGGTTAATGATAGATAAAGATGACACTTTTTCTTGCTATGCCTGGTTTTTGTAACCGTTGCTCTTGACCATTGCCAGGAGAGGGCGCAGAAGGTCAGAGCACTGCAGGTCCCGCTTTTCAACGCTTTGGCCACTAGGTGTCAGCATCAGAGTTTAGATTAAAACAATCACTTTGTAGCTCAGCTGGTAAAGAATCCGCCTGCAATGACAGAGACCTAGGTTCGATCCTTGGGTTGGGAAGATCCCCTGGAGAAGGGAAAGGCCAGTATTCTAGCCTGGAGAATTCCAGGGATTGTATAGTCCATGGGGTCGCAAAGAGTCGGCACTGCTGAGCGACTTTCACTTTCAAAAGATGCAGCTTTTATTTTTTTTTTTCATTTATTTTTATTAGTTGGAGGCTAATTACTTTACAATATTGTAGTGGTTTTTGCCATACATTGACATGAATCAGCCATGGATTTACATGTGTTCCCCATCCCGATCCCCGCTCCCACCTCCCTCCCCATCCCATCCCTCTGGGTCTTCCCAGTGCACCAGCCCTGAGCACTTGTCTCATGCATCCAACCTGGGCCGGTGGTCTGTTTCATCCTTGATAGTATACTTATTTCAATGCTATTCTCTCAGAACATCCCACCCTCGCCTTCTCCCACAGATTCCCAAAGTCTGTTCTGTACATCTGTGTCTCTTTTTCTGTTTTGCATATAGGGTTATCATTACCATCTTTTTAAATTCCACATATATCCATTAGTATACTGTATTGGTCTTTATCTTTCTGGCTTACTTCACTCTGTATAATGGGCTCCAGTTTCATCCATCTCATTAGAACTGATTCAAATGAATTCTTTTTAATGGCTGAGTAATATTCCATTGTGTATATGTACCATAGCTTCCTTATCCATTTGTCTGCTGATCCCACTCCTGGGCATACACACTGAGAAAACTAGATCTGAAAGAGACACGTGCATCCCAATGTTCATCGCAGCACTGTTTACAATTGCCAGGACAAGATGCAGTTTTTAAATAGATTTCTTAGCTGAGGTCATTTATATGACTGGGCCTTGTTGAAAACGGTATTTACAATGAATGGGGTAAATGAAGAATAATTTCCAGTAAGGAATGGAAAAGGGGGAGATTGAGGATTCAGGGAGAACCTGCTCAATAATGGAATAGCTGCTCACGAAGAAATTCAAATAGAGAACAAAAGTAGTAAATACCTGTCCCAACTAGAAAAAAATTATTTTGTGGCATCTCCAACCCAGATTTGAAGTGATAGCAGACCATACCCCCAGTATTGGACTGTCACCCTAAAGCTGCCTCTATACAGTGATATAGCATGAGGATTTATTATTAATTCATATGTTTCAATGACCCTCTTAATTGGTCACATTTTTAATAGTCACCTACATAATACATACAATATATACAGACAATTCTGTATTTGAGGTGTCTTTCTCAGCCTAAGCCTATGAATGATCTAAAAATGAGACACAATTTGTTATCTTAAGGGGAAAAGACTTGGACTCAAATCTTTATTCTAACAAACACTGGCTTGTGTGTCCTCTGGCATAGCTTCTCTGAGCTTCAGTTTCCTTGTCTGCAAAATGGGGATAACAACTATCACATAAGGCTATTGTGGATTCAAGAGCTAATGCATGTAAAGCATCTAATACATTAGTTAAGTGCTCAATAGATCGCTATTATGATCTTGAATTCATTTCAGGTCTGCTTGTCAGTTTGTACTGAGCAGGTCTGTTAGGGAGACTAAGGCTAGGAGGTAAGAAGCTAATGCTTTGCTCTTGTTCCCTCTTACTAATGCAGGCTCCTGGCACATACAGACCCTGGACTTTCCTCTGAGACCAAACCGGGTAGCCTACCAACTAGTCAGAGCCACTGTGGTTTACCGCCATCAACTCCACCTAACTCATTCCCACCTCTCCTGCCATGTGGAACCCTGGATCCAGAAAAGCCCAACCAGTCACTTTTCTTCTTCAGGAAGAGGCTCCTCAAAGCCTTCCCTGCTGCCCAAAGCTTGGACAGAGATAGATATCATGGAACATGTTGGACAAAAGCTGTGGAATCGCAAGGGGCGCAGGGTTCTACGACTCCGCTTCGTGTGTCAGCAGCCAAGAGGTAGTGAGGTTCTTGAGTTCTGGTGGCATGGCACTTCATCATTGGACACTGTTTTCTTGTTACTGTATTTCAATGACACTCAGAGTGTTCAGAAGACCAAACCTCTCCCTAAAGGCCTGAAAGAGTTTACAGAAAAAGACCCTTCTCTTCTCTTGAGGAGGGCTCGTCAAGCAGGCAGTATTGCATCTGAAGTTCCTGGCCCCTCCAGGGAGCATGATGGGCCTGAAATTAACCAGTGTTCCCTCCACCCTTTTCAAGTCAGCTTCAAACAGCTGGGCTGGGATCACTGGATCATCGCTCCCCATCTCTATACCCCAAACTACTGTAAGGGAGTATGTCCTCGGGTACTACACTATGGTCTCAATTCTCCCAATCATGCCATCATCCAGAACCTTGTCAATGAGCTGGTGGATCAGAGTGTTCCTCAGCCTTCCTGTGTCCCTTATAAGTATGTTCCCATTAGCATCCTGCTGATTGAGGCAAATGGGAGTATCTTGTACAAGGAGTATGAGGGTATGATTGCCCAGTCCTGCACATGCAGGTGACAGCAAAGGTACAGCTAGATCAGGTTTGCCCAAGAAATCAGAAAAGGATTTATAATAAACAAATATTGTTAAATCTGAAAGTGCTCAACCCAAGTGCTCTACCCAATCTGTAGATTCTATTCCTTGCCTTCAGTGTTGTACTTTAAGATTTCTTCCCCTATTTATGAGCGCCTCACTTTATAAAAACAGTTCTAATGCCAAATATCAGTATGTTTTGACTAGTCCATCTTCTGAGGATCTAGAAAGTTTGGGGTGAAGACAGCAACTTGAGATTTTATACTCCTCTTCCTTGCTCCTGAATCCTAGAAACTATTAATTGAAGAGACTGCTTGCTTCTGTGTTTGGATTTCCCTCTAAACCTAAAACTGTTTCTTAGTGGACTAGGAAACTTTTAAGCAGTAATATCCCTAGAGATCTTTTGAAGGGAACAGAAGGGAATCTTTCTAAGCCATCAGGGTTTTTCCTCTCAGGCTCTAAACCTGGCAAAAATGCCTGGGATGATCCCTTTATTACCCTGCTGTGAAGAGAACAGCCTTTAATAAAGCCAGTAGGGAAATGTGTAAGGAGCAGAGATGACAATCATTTCAAAACCTCTTATATCTAGAGTGAAAAAATGAGTTGTCATTGTTGATTAGAATTATGTATGGGGGAGTCATTTTAAATTTTCTCTGGAACAATAGATTTCACGGGGTATTTTCTCATTTTAGGTAATCATTAAACCCTTGTTAATGATCCCACAGAAAAAGCTTGCTGGTGGCTCAAAGCCTGAGAGTTGGCCTGTTTGGGATTGGAAGGCATAGAAGGCTGCAATTAGGAAGGTTAATAGGGCTGTGGGGGAAGGATGAAATGTGTTGAGACCTGGAGCTGACTTCATACTGGGCTTGCTTGTTTGTGTGCTCAGCTGAGCTCTGAGCATGGGTCTCTGGGAGAGACAGGCTTGCTGTATTGGGAGGCATGAAGTTCTGCTTTGGACTAAATAATGCTTGCACTGTGACTCTTTTCTATTCCTGTGCTGTATTGAAGTGATGGGGACTGGGTTGTGTTGTTGCAAATAAATCATTTTTGTTGTTAAAGAGAGTCTTGAATGTTTGGGGAATTGGGAGACAGTGGGTGGAAGGAGTTTATTTTCTTTATTCCCTTAGGCTATGGTCAGGAACTCAACCCCAATCACCCAGCGTGGAGTTGGAGTTCTCCCTGAAGGCAGCACAGCTAGCAATCAGCTCTCATCAAAGGGACCCCTTGAGGTAGCCCAGTAAGGCATTTCCCCTGCACAACTGTTCCTTGATTAATCTTATGGTTGTTGCCAATGAAAAGGGATGGATTTAGGGTGGTTTCATATATTGAAATATTTGCCAAACATATATCCCTATCTCCTTTTTACCTACCCATTGTACATTAACTTATTTTTACCACTCCATTCTCAATAATTGGTTCCAATTAAACTAAATATCTTACATGTCTATAAATACATAAATTTTATTCTTCTGCCTGAGGGGTTATACCTTAACACCCTTTTGTCCATCTACCTTCTTTATTGTATCTTTAGGAATCAGCTCAGGTATTTCTCTTCATCTTGATGCCCCTCATGATACCCTTGACTCAGGTAGGATCTCACTCTCTGTGCTCACAGCATTGTTTGCTTTCCTTGAAGACACTCTAGTGTAACTGTCCTTGTTGCCAAAAGATGAAGCCTCTTTTGAGAGTTTCAACTGTGTTTTACCCATTTCCTTATTATTGGAGACTGGTCCTTGATGGATTCAAGCATTGGATAGTCACACTCTTGTGAGCGATGCATTCTTCCTAACATGGAATTTCAATGTTCACATATCTCATTTTCCACTGGAATAAATGCAATACAAGATAAACTTTGTATATAAAGCAGGATGAATTTTTGTGCCTCGTTATTTCAAAATCATGATTCAAATTAGAATGTTACAGCTGAGTTCTTGAGTAAGGCAGTTCTTGGGATTGTTAGATAGTCTGTGAGTTAAAATGGGAGAGTAAATGTTGGCTTCCACGCCAGTGATTTCTGCAACCCAGCTGGGGTAGGCCTGAATGCAGACCTCCGTCCCAGGACCAGATTCTGAACTCAGCATCTCAGTGTTCTTTGGAATTTTCAGGAAATCATGATCGCCTAGCCTTGATTTCTGAGTATGTCTGAAACTTAATCTGTTTATGGAGGGCTCAGGGTTAATTCGGAGAAGGCAATGGCACCCCACTCCAGTACTCTTGCCTGGAAAATCCCATGGATGGAGGAGCCTGATGGGCTGCAGTCCATGGGGTCGCTAAGAGTCGGACACAACTGAGAGACTTCACTTTCATGCATTGGAGAAGGAAATGGCAACCCACTCCAGTATTCTTGCCTGGAGAATCCTAGGGGTGAGGGAGCCTGGTAGGCTGCCGTCTATGGGGTCACAAAGAGTTGGACACGACTGAAGTGATTTAACAGCAGCAGCAGGGTTAATTGGACCTATTATCCATGAAGCCCTGAGCTGTCAGAATATACAAGGAAAACACTAGCAAGATGGAATCAATTGTGGTTTATGTTACAGATTCTTTTCTTTTGAAACATTGCTTTCAACTCAGCACTTTTTCTCATGTCCAAAGTAAGAGATCTATACCTCAAACCTTTGGGAGAAAGGAGATATGCTTGCTAGTGAAGGAGGATGTATGGATGGCAGTCTGTCTGCCAAAGTGGTTGGAGAGAAATAGTTACTTGGTCCAGAAACAGAAAGCAGAGAGCAAAGTCCACCTTGTCCCAGCTCCCCCACTGAATAGGCTGGGAATCTATTCAATGTGTCAGTGCCTAAGGAGTAGCTATTTGAGCTTGTTTCTGACCCTGGAGCTCTGTTGCATTTACCTTGATAGTATATTTTGTCCAATTCTAGACAAAGTTGGGGAGCAGGTGAAATTTATCTTCAGTTTCACCAAGTATTTGGTGCCTAATTTTGTAAAACTTTTCAAATGTCTTCAGTTAAGTCTCCCAACAGAACTATAAAGTGGGATGTATAAGCCCCATTAAAGAAAAACTGGTTTGTTGATATATAATTTGCATACTAAAGAAGCCACAATTTTAAGTGTTCAATTCAGTGGTTTTTAGTATATTCAGAGTTGTACAGAAAACACTGCAATTGATTTGACCACAAAAAGAAACCCGATGCCTGTTAGCAGTTAATCTCCATTTCCCTCACCCCAGCCCCTGGCAACTATTAATCCATTTATATTCTTTTTCTGTAGATTATGGATATTTAGATAAGTCAAATCATGCAAAATTTGGCTTTTTGTGATTGTCTTCACATTAACATTGCACGTTCAAGGTTCATCTATATCATTCATTCTTTTTTTTTGCTGAATAAAATTCCATTTTAGAATATGCCACATTTTATTTATCCATTCATCAGTTGATGGACATTTGAACTGTTTCTACTCTGGCTATTATGAATAATGCTGACTTGAATGTTCATGTGGAAGTTTTTGTGTGGACATATATATTCAATCCTCTTGCATAAATATTTAGGAGTATTAGTGCTGAATCATATAGTATGTCTATGTTTAACATTTTGAGGAACTGTTAAACTGTTCTCCAAAACAGCTGTACCATCTTATAATCCAAAACTATCTGAGGGTTTCAATTTCCCTACATCGTCACCAACACATCCTCACCAATACTTGTTATTGTTTGCTTTGCTTATTTTAGCCATAGTGGTAGAGGTAAAGAGCTATTTTGTTGTGTTTTTGAGTACATTTCCCTGATGACTAACAATGTTGAACAAGTTTATTTGCAACTTGCATATCTTCCTAAATGTTCATTGAAGTCTTTTGCCCAATTTTTAATTGGATTTTCTCATATTTTTGAGCTGTGTAAGTTCTTTATATGTTCTAGATGTTAGTCTCTTATCAGATGTATGATTTGCAAATATTTCCTCTGATTCTGTAGGTTGTCTTTTGACTTTCTTGACTGTGTCCTCTGGAAAACAAAAGTTTTAATTTGGAAGAAGTCCAAACTATTTTTATCTTTTGTTCTTATGCTTGTGGTATCATCTAAAAAACTTTGAATAATTCGAGATCATGAGAATTTACACCTATGTCTTTTTCTAAGTGTTTTTTATAGTTCTTGCTGTAACATTTAGATGTTTAACCCATTTCAGTTAATTTTTGCATAGCATGTGAGATAAAGGTCTAGCTTCATTGATTTGCAAGTTGATGTCCAATAGTCGCAGCACCATTTGTTGAAATGACTAATTTTTCCCCCACTGAATTATTTTGGCCCTCTTGTCAAAAATTGAACATAAGGGTTTCTTTCTAGACTCTAAATTTTATTTCATTGATCCATATGTCTATTATGCCAAGACATCACTGCCTTGATAACTGTAGCTTTGTGTAAGTTTTGAAATTGGGAAATGTGATTCCTCCAAATGTTTTTTTCTTTATCAAGATTGTTTAGGGTATTCTGGATCACTTGTATTTCCATATGAATTTTACAATCAGCTTTTCATTTTCTGAAAAAAATCCAGCTGAGTTTTTGTTTTTTTGATTATGGCCTGAAATGAATCTGTAGATAAATTTGAAGAGTATTGCCATCTTAAAATTATTGTCTTCTGATCTATAAAAATGAAATGTCTTTCCATTTATCTAGGACTTCTTTAATTTTTTCTACAGTTTGTCATTTTTCAGTATATGTCTTACACTTTAAATTCATTCCTTAGCTTTTTATTCTTTTTTGATGCTATTATTAAAGGATTTTTTTTTTCAAAATTTTCAGGCCATTAATTGCTAGTATATAGGAATATAATTTATTTTATATTTTATACTAGTACTCTGCAACGTTGCTTAATTCATTTATTAGCTGTAATAGTTTGTGTGGATTTCTTAAATTTTCTATATATAAGGTCATCTGTGAATATATATATAGTTTTACTTCTTTTGATCTGGATTTCTTCTTTATTTCTGCCTAATTACCCTATCTAGAACCTCCAATACAATGTGAATAGAAGTAGTGA